TTTAGGTACAGTGAATTACAATCTTCAATGCAATCAACTTCGACGTGCAGCAGCTATGATAGGGAAGTATCCGGACATCCAGATATTATTTGATAGACAGAGCTCGGCAATACACACTACGGATATTAAGCGTATTTGTATGCCGTCTACGAGCGTCTAGGTAAGAACCAATAATCCACCAGTAGCTTCAACAACCGGTTCGATTGAAAAGGGGAAATCAGTTTTAGTGAATCGATCAGTCGACAGTGAAGACGACGAAATAGTCCTAGTTGACCCACTGGAACATGCTGTGTTCCGAAGACTGACAAAAACGACGTCAGCGAAGTACAAACTGGACGCTAAACGCAGGAGGCAAACCAATCCGACATCACCGATGAAGCCCAACTGTTGCAGTGTCTGCGAATCTTCGTGGAATACGGTCGACTTGGACGATGAGCAACAATGGATTCAGTGCCAGAAATGACGGCGCCGAACACAGCTGTTGCTCTGCTCACAGTGGACAGGAAGCATACGTTTGTGTGCATTGCCTCAGTCGATGAGCGTAGACGTCAACAGCCCGAAGTGACTGAAAACGGCCCTTTTAGAGCCACGCCAACTTGATTTAATTATCTTTGGGCTATTAATTCTGTTCAGGGCCCAACATATCGGTAAAGATTCCCATTGAGATCGGGTGTTGTGGGGGCGATACCTACTTCGTTTCCGAGCCAATTCCCAGGTGGAATGAACACGTGGGTGGGAGAAAAATATTGGTGGATTAATCAACAGGCACGCGGTTTGGAGAGTATCATGCTATGCCCACGACGTTTATTCATAGTAATACACATGAAGTAATCACAGACCCCGTCGAGAAAGTCAGTAAGCTTCAGAATAGTATTTAGAATAGCTTTTGACAGTTATATGGAAGGTGTAATCCCTAAAGATTTGCTATGGTATATTTCCCTCCCGAGAACTCGTTCATTTATATCAACGAATAATTATTTTATTATTTTAAGTCCAATAATTTTCCTTTTAATGTTTTTGATTGTTTGCTGCTTTATTGAAACCGGCCTTATGCTTATGGTCTGTCATAAGCGAAATAATTTTTGAGCAACAGTGGTCTCGAGTTGGGATTTTTTCATGGCTTGGAGAACGCGGATCGGTCAAATGACCTTGTACTTTTTGAATCAAGCCGCGTTTGGATGCTGCGCGCTTACCACCCTTGATCCTCCCTTGTGGATTGGCTCCACTTCTGCCGTGGTCCAGTCGGCAGGCACCGTTCCAGAGGCAAGGGATCGGTTGTAGAGCTGAGTAAGCGCACCTGCAATAATGTCAGCAATAAGCCGCAGGATTGCTGGATGCAGCCCGTCCGGGCCCGCGGCCTTGTTCTGATCTAGTTGTTTCAGTGCCACTTCTGCCTCCTTTGCCTCTAATACAAACGGGACCATGCGCTGTTTGAGGAGTCTACGCAGAAGATCAGGCAACGGCCTTCCCAGGTCCGTTGAGTGGACCTTTGCCCCTCTCGCCATCTAGTGGGTTGATTGACGTGTTGCACCAGGGGAAGCACAGTCATCAAGTCCACTAGTTTTCTACCAAAACCAGAGCGAGGGGCCCACAGGCTTTCCCAGTCTACCTCCGGAGATTTGAAGTCACCCATAATGACCAACCGCCCCGCATGGTTGCTTACTCTGGTCAGATAGTCGCACAGTTGGCCATCCTCTTACTCATCTGAGAGTGGTGCTCTGTAGGCACCTACTAACCTCACAATGCAGTTCGGGGATTGTATGGTGCATGAACACGCCTGGATATTCGGCGTGGATATGTGATCGCCCTCGGCTTGATTTAGGGTGTCCGAAACAAGGAGCAATGTGTCACTTCCACCCCTACCATCTTCCCTGTCCAACCTGTACACGCAGTACCCGGTGATTTGCAGTCTCTCCGTTGTGATGACCTCGTGTAACCATGTCTCGGCAATCGCAATACAGTCTGATCCTACAGCTACAGCTCTTAATTCTCTCCACTTGTTGTCTAGGCTGCAGGCGTTAGTGTAGAATGCCCAAGCACCCCTTCCAGCCTTGGTGTCACTAAAGTCTAATGTGCACTCGGGCAAACTGCCCGAGAGCCCTCTTCGTTTTATTTTGCTGGCATACTCGTGGCCCTCAGTCACTTAGGCGCTGCAGAGGGAATGACGTCAACACTGGCACTTGGAGCCACCGTAGCCCACAATTCCTTACCAGTCTCCAACTGAGTAGGCCCAATATCATCCGGCCTGTCCTTACGATTAGCTGTGACCACTGTCATCCGTCCTACTAGCTTGGGCTCAGGGCCTTCATCGTTACGTTTGTGTCCTGTAGGAGATAGTGCTGGTGTAGTTGAGCCGGACCTGGGAGTTGATGTGGTACGTTGAGCAGCGCTTGCCGGTGACTGATGCTGCAATCGACTGAGCTCTATCCTCGGTGAGTTACCCCGGGAATTGCCGTATGCCGTGTTAGTTGGTGATGCCTGTCGGCGAAAGCCTGCATG